CTTCTTATTTATGATCACGAATAGAATATAAAGCAACAGGAAAATTTTGAGTAAATTTAAGTCACCCCTTTTCGTCACCAACAGTATATGATTAAGCTAACACAGCTGAATTCGTGATTACACTGTTGATGTGATTACCAAGATCAGCTGGGATGTTCATTTTAATGTATCACTGAATCAATAACTTGAAAACTACTTCAAAACTTACACATCTCCTACCTGCCTTAGTTGCTCCACATATTTATCATGGTAACCAGCGTCTCCACTCATAGAAGTAGCGAGGTGTTTCACAGTTTCTTCTCCGATAACATCACGAGTAAAAACTTCCCTAAACACGCTTGCCAGTAAATGCGACACATCTTGAGAACGACTCGAAGATGGCCGTTGAAGATGCATCGGAGGCTCGACTTCTACCTCCTTTGCGTGTGCCATTTCGATGGTTTATTGCTTCCTTCGCGTTATGCTGCTAATAAACAGCGAGGACTGAAAATTTCCTCACTTCACTTTTCGACCGCCATTTTGAAGCAGTTGCTATGGATTCCTTATGTACCGACTATACGCGGGCTCAGAGACTCAGAAGAGGGCCAGAAATACAGTTTTAATTAGTGGTTTTGTGACAGCAGTTAAGGACTTCCACAAAACCCCGAAGGCGACAGCAACGAGAGCATAGGAAAAAATGAGATCTAATGAGTGAACCAATCGTATTTAGAGAACATCACTCTCTTGATTCAATTAGGTACGGTGCAAGCGAGCATTCTCTTGTACATAATGAAGCATGCTATGGTGCGAGTTTGTAATTTTGGCATGATTACGGATGGAAGACACGGAAAAACGTAAAGCAACGAGAGTCGACATCAAGAACTAAGCTTTACTTTTTTTTTTCAAGCTTGACATTCGTAATTCGTGACAATCTTTTCCATCCCCAAGCCATTCTGGTTTATGTTTGCGAACTTGAAGGCTGTTTACTTGTGGAAATTATCATGAGAATGCTTTCCGTTACTATATAACAATTTTCAAACGCTCAGTTAGAAGACAGCTCAGGTTTTGTTGACTTGACAGCGCCTTACATGTCAATGTAGCGGCAATTTATAAATTGCCATACTCGTATTGAAAAGATAATCATAAATAAGAAACAGAACAGTGTAAAAGCTCTCACGCGAAGAATAGTTATGTTTCATGTTACGGTGTATCATGTTTTTTTTTTTTTAACATGCATGATGTTGCCGCTGCCAGCAGTACGTGTGTGTTAGATACATGCCAGTGGCCTATGATTATGCAATTCAAAGTTCTTCCCTCCTACTAACCACCAATGGGACTTAACTCAAATTGATAACATAAAGAGGGCTATTGGATATCATTTGAATTGTCTATAACTCAAAAAATTGACATGGTATTATAACGGATGAAGGTTTGAATCTTCTTGTGGACAGTTCACTTTTAACAATAGTAAATAAAGAAATTTCCATATCGATGTAATTGACAAGTGGTATATTTTATTCAAATGTGCGCTAAACAACAAACAATAAAATGTCAATATCGCAATAAAAGACTTAAAAGTATCTGTCAAAACTAACTGCTGGCGACGAGAACAACATTCTGAGGTTCAAATTTACGAAGGGACTTGAATTAATAGTAAGTATTCATAGCCACTTTTCCTTGCAATCTGAAACAAAAATGGTTGTTGTTAGAGATATCTAATACGACCTTATGCTTCAAATAAAAGACGAAAGGCCTGACTTCGGAAAACCAGGTAAATATAATTTTGTTATACGTTGCGGCGAAATGTTTGTATTTCCATTTATTCCATCACCAACTGTAAAAAGTAAAAACATTTCTGTGAAACTGAAAGAGGAGAATGTAGGGTGATCATTCAAAAAAGATTTCGAATCTGCAGGGTGATATTGTTGTGATCATTAGAAACCGTCGGAAATCCTCCAGTAACTATCTTTTGAAAATGAAAATATATTTATTTTGCGAAAATTGTTGGAAACGTCATTATCTAAGTTTTCATTTTCTAACGATCATGTTATGTTGATAATGTTAGACGGGCACATGTAGATTGGCCAATCTTTGAGCCTGAAGAAGTCAGTGAAGCTACGAAATTTAACTTCAACCTTTTCATCATTGTCTATTCTTTCGTTTTGTCAGCGCTGACAACGCACGCCGTCGGCAAACTAAAATCCTTCTTGGTTGAGAAAGACTATGGATCGTCAAGAAAACTGCAAATACTGAAAATTGTTTTTAAATTCATTTAATATGGACTTGACATTTAATATCACAGAAGATACTCCACAAGGTAAATTTGACAACAGCTTTGTCATAACAGCTGTTTGCTTAATTCTGATATCCATCTCCGCTGTTGCTGGGAATTTACTTGTCTTGGCGGCCATCGTTATCAAACGGAATCTTCGCACTATATCAGACCTCTACTTGGCAAATTTAGCCGTCGCAGACTTAATGCAGGCAGCTTTAGCCATTCCACTTCGCGCCACAGTTCTCCTCGGAATACGGAAACAGCAAGCTCCAGTTCCTTGTTCAGTGGTTATTTTTTTCACCATACTTTTTGGAGGTGTTTCAAACATGAGTATTCTTCTTGTCGGCGTGGACAGGTTTATAGCCATCAAATGGCCTTTTACATACCACACTTGGCTCACAACGAAGGTTTTTGTCAGCTCTGTGATTTTAACGTGGTCGTCCATGTTTTTGTTCGCAGCATCACCCTTAGTTGGGTGGGGAAGATCAGATAACCCTACACTATCCCGCACGTGCCGTTTTACCATGACATTGGACAGAACATATGTCGCGATTGGATACATTTTCATTCACGGATTGCCATTAATAACAATCGTAATAGTCTATTTCTTTATCCTAAAAGCATCTTTCAGACATTCACGCGCTATAGCGGCGCAAGAATTCAGCTTGCAGTCGAATAATTCCCAACTGAAAGAAGATTCTTTTACTCGTGAAGAACTCCGCACAACTGGCTGTCAGGGTCACACAGAAAACTTCAGCAACAGTCACACTGAACAGCCCCATGCACGCATGCGCAATCACGTTCGTAACACCAGCAAAACTGGTAAAGGTGCCCGTATGATCGCGATCTTGATAGGCGTGTTCATTCTTCTTGTGCTGCCAATCGTCGTGATTGACGTGGTGGAGATGTGGGAGCAGCCCTCCGCTCCACCAATAGTGGTTAACATTGCAATATGCTTGATTTACGCTAATTCTGGAGTGAATGTTTTCATTTACGCCGGCTGGAACGCAGAGTATCGAAGAAATTTTCATCGCATTTTACTCTCTCTATGGAAGGTAATAACCAGTCCCTGTTTTTGAGTTTGATGACCGAGATGACTCGCGCAACAACACTACTGTTCTCATGTACTTGTTCTCATTTACCTTCATGTAACTAGGGCCAAATATTCTGGACCCGAAACTTAAAACCGCACATGATTTTGTTGATTTTTTTCCCTTGAAATGCTCAAAAAGATCAATAAGAACAGGTAAGGAAAAAGATGGAAGTATCTTAGCACAGGTGAATCGAGGAATTATTCGAAATCATTGCTTAAGTTTTCGTGCAGTTAACTGTCAAATGGTTCGAAACGAACCAAGAAGACAGTTAGTGCAGATCTTAGGTAAGAGTTAGTACCAAAGCTGAAGTGTTGCTATCTGAAAGGTGGCAGTTTCATAAGCGTAGAGTTGCAGAGGGCAGATATGAGCACTAAGGCTTAGGTTTTCCTTCAGACAATGCTGAGTATTTTGGTCCGAAGAGACTGCAAATCATTAATAATATTATCTACTCTTTACCTCAACCCTTAAAGGCCATTTGTTAAACCAAGTTTATTTTCTTGCTAATTTTTATTGCTAAAATATAATACCTGGTGCCAATGATTATGGCAGAAGCAGTCGCCTTGTCAATACAAAGCCTCGACACAGGCTCAATATAATTCTATGTCATTTTACCCTATCGTAAAATAGCTTTTACACTGGGATTTATCTCTGTCCTCTTGAAAACCACGTGAAAATATCTTCATTAACACCATGTGGTTTTAAGTGGGACAGCTTACAATGTTACCAATTATAAGTACATGATCATGATTGAAGGATTTCTAATTAACTATCACCGAGTTACTCTGTCATCTTCTGGAGAACGTGATCGAAGTGATACCGCGATGCTGGAAATTAATGGCGATTCAGCTTAATTTTTACTCCTTGACTGGTCCTATTTCAAAAACTCTTTCAACCTCAAGCATTGTCTTCTTCCGATACGTAAGATAAATCACATGTGGACGCGAGTGCATTTTGTTATTTACGTTTAAAACTGCTGCTGTTTTCCATGAAATGATCATTTCATCTAATAATTGTGACAGACATTTCCATCTTGCTAATCTTTGCAATATTTTTAAAAACCTACACATATTAGTTTTGCATTAGAGAGGCGTCGTTATTGGAACTTTTGGCAAAAGCTCCCTCAACAACACTTCACTAATGCGACTACTGTTCCGTGTCCTTAAACAATTCGATACCTCGATATGAAGTTCCCAAGGTGTAATATTAGAGGGGTTCCCCTAAAATGTAATTTAAAGGGGTTCCCCTAAAATATTGGTTCTTATCGAACATTTCCATAAGATCGTACATAAGGAACGCTGGTTAGTCGGTTGCACGAATTAGCTTAAAAGACGTCAACTGTTTAGATTTTCAAAAAGAACAAGTTTCTTAGCTTCGCTTTCTCTGTTTCGCCAGTAATATTTATTAGTATGCAGGTAATTTAGTGTTAACAACTGGGTTGAAAACGTAGCGTTAGCCCTTCGAGCGTTAGCCTTCTAATCGCTCTGACGAAGGGCTAACGCTCGAAACGTCAGCTTTTTTACCCTTTACGGTGGCTAATTTACGTTTTCAACCCAGTTGTTAACACTAAATTACCTGCTATACTCTCCCACCAACGCAGCACCACAGTTTCTTTAGAAACTTACCCCTTTATTCATTTATTAGTATGCGCTGAGTTCGCTAAACCATCAAACTGAAACAGAACCGCCTTCGTAGGACGCGTATGTTGGCTAAGAAAAGGTTTATGACCAAAAATAAAGTCTAAACTAGGAGTAAAATGTCAACACATTGGTTTGATTGCCACGTACGAGTAGCACCGGCGGTAAGTCAGCGGACATCACCTCAAGCCAACTCATGTACATCAAAGGAGTTGTGACGTCAGTGACAGGGACTGGAATGGAGATTACGACCAACCTTGTCTCTTCTGAGCAGTGCTGCCGCACGAGTTCTCCGATGCGAATCGTTCTCAGAACTTTCGGGTCTTTGATAGGCTCTTCTCCAAGCTCCTCTTTGACTGGCAGACGTCTGAAAGCATCCAAGCTCTCCTGCGACGGCGGTTTATTGCCGATTTCAACTTGCTCCACGCAGCTAGCGTCAAAGCGGAACTTCTTTAACAAGTTTGCCATTCGCAAACCTTGCGGATTCACCTCGTGTTTGGAGCGAAAGTTAGCCGAGAAAAACCTCAATTTGCACTTCTTCCAGGCACCATGAAGTGTCAGCAGGTACGGCAGCAATACTGTCAGACCACCGTCATCGTACAGCCACCAGACATCGATGGTGCCCGTTTGTTTCTCTTTCAATGCAATTTTGACCTCCGGTGTCGGCGAAGATTCGGACGTTGGTTCGGACGCCTTTTCAGGGCTAGTAAGACTTTCTCTCTCTTCGTTTGCTAACTTTTTCCCCGTAGAGGAACGTTTGGGCTTAGGATATTCGTCTCCTTCCATAATCGAGTCCGAATCTGACGAAGAGCTTTCATCCACCTTCTCTACGATAAAATTTTTATTCTGTTCTTCGTTCATTCGAAAAATGACCAGACCATAACTGAGCTCGAAGACGTCGTTAATTACGCCAAGATAGTCTACTACCTCACTTGAGTACCTCTTATCTGTCCAGTTATTCTTATAGCCCATAACAACCGTGTTTGGCCGCATCTTTCCCAGTCCGGTGAGGTGAATCATGGACTGCACCCCCGTGCGGAGACTGGGGGCTGTAGAGGGGAAAAATGGGAACAGAGAGATGACATTGGTAAAGAAAAGTGAACTTTTCTTACCAAATACACATGCAAGTTTTTCTCTGTGATTCCATGCACCCGAAGGCAATTACGGATTAATTTGGAGCGTATTCTCAAGATTCTCTCTTTTTGGTAAGAGTAGGGCAGCGATGTTAGTACTGATTTAGAGAAGTGCTGCTTTCCTGGGATTTTTTTTATAACCCATTTCGTGTAAGAGCCCCAGGTCACTGCATATGACTTGTGCTCGAAAATCAGTATCAAATAATCACGCCCTCTTGATAACCAATAGTCTCTCAGTCATTTATCTGCCTCTTGTGTTTCGTGAACAAAGCGCGGAAATGCAACCCCTTGCACACAAATGTAACCATTTTCCACTCATTAAACATATCTTCAAACAAACGAAACGTATATAATTTGGGGATGTATAACGGATCACAGGAAAAAGAAAACAATAAAACATGTTGACTAAAACTGATATAAAATAAATTGGTTAACCAACTGAGTTGAAAATGAGGTAAGTTGGCCACCATAGAGATTTTCTGAAGCTGACTTTTCGAGCGTTAGTCAGAGCGAAAACTGATATGCACCGGCGGAAATTTAAAAAAAAAAATTGAAAAAGAAGGCAACTCTTTAGTAATTTGGCAGTACATTGTTTACCTGCGGTCACAGCGCGGAAAGCTCTGATCTTGTGTTTTCTCATCCACTCGACATCTGATTCGTCTTCAGGGAGCATTCCAAAAGCTTCCTTT